GGGTGAATTGATGGCGCAGGGAGCTTAAATCGTCAACTTTTCCACTTAGGCCTCCCCCTGCTTTCCAACCTTAGTGAGCGATGGGAGAAAGGGGGGGTGGGCTGAGCGCCTATAGCGTCACCCAGAGCGCACAAACCCAGCCACTTTTCCCAGTCCTGCTCTGACATCGGCCACTTCCCCACTCCCGCCTCAGTCAGATTGAAATTGCTAAACTTGTGGCCTCTTACCTTGACACATTTCCGAAATCACTGCCAAGGGACAGCAGGCTTCTCCGTGCCGCGACGCCTGCGAGGCCTAAAGAAGGCGCGTTGCTTTAAATTACACCAATTACTTCTCGAAGGTGACCCCCCCTTTTTTTGATACTAAGGGGAGCGGGACAAGTGAAATAATGTAACGTGCTGCTCTTAGTATCAGAAGCGAACAAAGGCCGAGAATCGCGCTGGGGTTCCCGGCTCCCCGGCGGCTTTGACATTGATCGGACGTGCGCCATCTCGTGGCGGCTGAGCGACTAGGCCTAGCCCGAACTTCAGCCCGGAGCTCGGGAGAGGGAAGCAGGCTCTAGGCATAGACTGAGGGAAAGAATGTGCCCAGCCCGCTGCTAAAGAGATCTCATTTTTACATCTAAGAAATTGCTGCAAAACCCCAGCCGGGTTTATAGCGGCGCATTCCAAATATGCAAATTGGCCGGCCCCGGACGGGTTTACGACCACATTGTCACAGCCATCGGAGGATGGGCTTTTATAGGGCTCAGAAATCAAACCCGCGCCCGCTCGCCGCCCGCCCGCGAACAGTCCTCCTGGCTAGACTCTCTAGCAACTTGCAAGACTTTGGTTAATCTTTAACCGTCCCAAAGGAAGTCTTTCCTTAAACCCTGGGTTTCCCTGCCCACCCCTCACTGCCCCCCAAGAGAGTCGTTGTTCACCTCCGTGTCTGTTCATCAACCTAGACATTCATCTAGGGGGTCTGTCCCATTCCCTTTTGAGCTCGATTTCCCCAGTCGCGCCAGTTAGACAAACACACAAACAAATAAACAAAGCGCGGTCTGGGGTCTGAGGCCTCTCTCCAAATTCCACCTTCTCTGCAGTTCTGGCCCTGCCTGGGTGGCTAGGGAGAAGGTGGGGGTAGAGGTGGGGGGTGGGTGGGCAACAAAAGGCTCTGGCCTTTCCGCTCTGCCCCTCAAGGTTATGGGTGATGTCCAAATTTAAGGCAGAAGTTCAAAGGCAGGAAACAAAGAGGAAACCGGCATCTTTCTTTCCCCAAAGGGAAAAGGCAGCCTCAGCTGGGAGCTTGGGACAAAGTGCCCAGAGAGGCTCCTGAGAGTCTACTCTTTGTACCCAGACCAGTCTCTGTCTTCCTAAGGAGATCCCCAGGGCACCCTACAGTGCTTCTACTTCAGGCCTCCTAGTCCTGAGGTGAGCAAACCCAGCTTGGGATCAAACTAATCAGCCACTTCAAAGCCCAGGGCTTTCTCCCAAGCCTCTCTCCAGTCTGAAAGGATGAAACCCCCAATTCCAGGTCCTGAGATACTCCATTCCTGGGACCCCGCCCCCCACCCTTCCCAAAAGGACCTGGCCAGCCACCTTGGCTTCCCAAGCCTGGCTTCCAGTGGAGTTAAATCCCCGACTAAGTCACCTCCCCACCCCTGCAGGGGCCTGATAACTTGCCCCTTTTTGGGGGTGGGGGTGTGGGGTGGGGCAAACATTTGGCAGTAAAAGGCAAACAGGAAGAGGACTGTCACACCAGGACCCAATACTCAAGTTTCCACAGTCTTTATTTTCCTTGTGCCCTGTCGCCTGTGTACATGCTGCGACATACGTGGTGGGTGAGAACGGAGGACAGGCCAACACTCCCATTACAAACAGAGCCACCAAACACTTCTTAAAACAGGGAGGCAGAGGAGATTCAATGGGAGGGTACCTGGCTTTCTCAGCTGAGGTCCCCAGAGCCTGTAGGGCCAGACTACCTTAGAGCTTACCCCTATGCTTTCCGAACACTCCAAGAAATCAAAAAGATCATTCCCAATACCCTTCCCGCCCCTCCAATCCCCCAAGGAAGTCAACGAATGGCAACATTTAAAAAGTATTCAAACAAAATAGGTTATGGTTCTTTTATTTACAAGTCTTTTGAACACCATCCCTGTATGAAGCGTACATTCAAATATTTTTAGCAGTGAGTGAGTTTAATCGTGGAACACTGTAAACAGATAGAACCTTTAAATATTCTCTTCATCATCTTTTCCCCCCTCTACGTTGCATCTTTTAAAATTCGCTTTGGTTCCTGCAGGGAAATATATATATATATATAATATAATATTTATTTTTTAAAATAATTCCAAACTCCCTTGAGCTCTTGGAAGGTCGCCGGAAGCTTCCAAGCTCAGTTCTGGGGCGGCGAAGGGCAGAGTGCGGTGCCAGAACTGGGTATTTTGGGGACTCAAGCCCCTCATAGCCGGGGACCGCTGGCCCAGCCCACTGTGTCGCTGAGCAAATCCAAGCCTCAGTTAAGTGTGGTGGAAACTTTGCCAGGCTGCCGCACTCCACAGGCATTTCCTGCAGAGATCTTGGGGCCAGCGGCCTGGATGCAGCCTCTTAGCTTTTTGATGTTTTCCACCTCGGGAAAGGTCTGCTCTGTGACCAGGCTTTAGGCCTGAGTGGCAGGCCAGGAAGAAAACCCTCACCGGTAGGAAAAACTAGGTGGGCTGCAGGAGACAACTGCTAGAAGCCCAGGCCTCAGACAGTGCATTGAGTGGCTAGGAGGGGTGGAGAGCTGCTAATGCCACCTGGAATAGATTTTTTTTCCCCCTCCAGGATCAGCAGCCCTCTCCCACCTCACAGTCACCTTTTAGTCCAGCCGCCGTCTTTCACATTGGCTTTGGAAAGCAGCCCCACTCGGAACATCTAGGAATCCTCCCCCCTTCCTCCTGTTCCTGTCCCCAAGCTGAACTGTGTTTAAAGACAGAATAGCTTCTTGACGCAGGGGTCCTGGGGGTGGGCAGGCTCCCTGTGGAGGGTCCTGGGCCCAGGTCGTTCTCCAGGGCGCTTGGCAGGGGGCCCAGTCCTGATGGAGACCACACCCAGCCCAAAGCTCCACAGTCTCTAAGAATGAACCACCAGGGGTCCCAAACCATTTATTCTAGCTGATGCACAACTCTCCACATCCAATTTTTGTTAGGAATCTTAACCACAGATGCCCAAGAGAGTCCCGGGCTGCCTCCTTAGAGGCTGTCTCCGTGTAGCCTCCTCTCTTTTGCACATCTCTTTTCTTCGAAAGTCACCACGTGCCTTGACCTTGTCAAGGGCAAAATCTGCATATAATCTCACGTGTATGAAACCCCCCACCCAATTCCAGCAGGCTGGAGCCTTAGAGGAGCGGGTTGGCCGAGTAGTACTGTAAACGGTCTCTGTTAATTTTTTTTTCCTTCATTCTCCTGTTCTGAAACCAGATTTTGACCTGACGGTCAGTGAGGTTGAGCATGCGAGACAGCTGCAGGCGCTTCTCTTTGTTGATGTACACACTGAAGAAGAATTCCCGCTCCAGCTCCCGGATCTGGTACTTGGTATAGGGGCAGCGCTTTTTTCTGGTGCGTTGACCACCTGTGGAGGGAGAAAGAAGCAGGGAGTGAGTCAGGTATGGGGGCCGCAGTCCGTCCTCGAGCCCCGAGTGGAGGAAAAGGGCTGGCCCAAGGGACTGGCCCTGTGCAAACCCCATCAAGGTCTCCTCAGTCCCCTGCCTTCAGACTCCTACTGCCAGCTGGGGACAGGCTGCAGGCGGAGACTCAGCCCCAGATAAAAGCCAGCTTCCTAGATAGGCCCCCAGGGAAGCTGCTCACGCTGCCCCCAGAGCAGAAAGGAGGGTTCCTTACAGCAACAGGCTAGTTTGTGCCGCAGAGGCGGCTTTCAAAGCTGCCGAGTGGGGGTTGCCGGCTGCCTCCAGCCCCGCCAGACTAAACAAACAGCCGCCCGCGGACATTTCACCTTCAAGCACCTGGGCTGCTGGTTCCTGAGGCAGTAAAGTCGGCCCCAGCCCCAGTCTTTCCCGGCTGCGGCCCCGACTCGGCCCTTGTTAGCATCTGAGTCAGCTGCCGGGTCTTTGTCAGCCTGCGTTCTGGCCACCAACTCCTGCCTTCTGGACCAGCCTCCTGGCTTCCACGAGGTGAGGGGGTGGCAGCGGAAGCCCCCTACCCTGGGCCTTCCCTGAGCACCAAGGCCACAGAGCCACCCAGGTCCCCAGCAGGGCAGGGCTGCTGATTTAGATAGGGTGGAGGGAACAGGGGCTTCCCAAAAGCTGCCGGCAGGCTTCACTTGCTCCCCTTTTCAATAAAACTTCACAGGACGGAAAGGAAAAACCCGCTTTTGACAGATTGAATAACAATTGTTAGTAACATGCAGTTGGACAGAAGGCGGTACGTAATTGCCACCGCGCCAGAGGAAAATGGCTTCCTTTTGGATAAAAAGGCCAACTTTGGCTTAATTTGTTCCTTTTAATGTGTTGCTCGAGCTACAGCGGGCTATTTTATCTGTAAAACACGCTCCTAGCGCCGTCGTTAAACAGGGATGCCTTTGAATCCCGGCTGGGACTGGAGTCCCGGCGCAACACATGGCTTTTATAAAAATCTCCGGATTACCTCGCTATCAAAGGCTCCCGGAGCCTTTGCAGGGGGAATTTACAGGCGCCCACCTCCGGCTCCCCAGCCCGATCTGGCCCTGAGCGGGGTCGAGCTGCCGGGCTTGGGACTGAGAAGGGAAAAAAGGGGAAAAGGGAGTTGTGTGTGTGTGTGTGTGTGTGTGTGTGTGTGTGTGTGTGTGTGTT